CTTTCCTGGGGAAGATCATGTATTCCACTGTCAACATCCCTTATTTGCCTGTATTTCTTTGTGTAAGTTTGAGGCCATGTAGGCTTTCCTATGAACTGTAGCCATTTATAGAAGTATAGTTCAACTTGTGTTTATCTTTAACAGATTTTAAAAACTAGAAATATTCCAGGACCCTGATAATTTTCATCTTGTGTTTTATAAATAATAGATACATGCCAATTGCCCATTGAAAAAAGAGTCTTGGACCATATTGATCCATAGAGCTGATGAGTATTTTAGATCAATAAACATTTTCCATCCATATTATATATATATATATATATAATTTAGATTATTCTTATCACATATTAATGTATATTATGATCATATTTTTTACATTTTAGTATATCTTCTACAATATTTTATTAGATGTCTGTTTCTAGAGAAAAAGAAAGAAAGGGTGTGAATTTTGTTGGCTGGGTTGGTGAGGATGATCTGGGAGGAGGTGAGGAAGAGGGACCATAGTCAGCATATATTGTATGATAAAAAAATCTATTTCCAATCACAAAAATTAAAAAAAGAAAGTTAAAAGTAAAAAAATTCATTTAAAATGTTTTGTTCATGTGTTTTTAAGAATGTATTTTGAAATTATGGCTCACTGACAGCAAATATTCGCCAACAAATATTTCTGTTTCTTTAACTGTGATATTTATCCAATATATCTTACTTGAAATACATATTTTGATATAGTGAAAGCAATAATTTTTCCATCTTTTTCAGTTAAGCACATATTATTCTAAGTATATAATGCAAATTTTCATGTGACACCATGTCACTATTGTCCTTCATTTAAAGATCTCAGTATATATCTATCATCTACATATATGTCAGATAATAATTTTATATAAATTATTATTGTTTTATTTTTAAGTCTCAGTTTAACTTTTGTATACTTATTTTTGTTTGTATCTGAGAGAAGATGTATGCCACATGTGTGAATACCCATGATATACTGATGAGGGAGATAGATACACCTGCAGCTGATGTTTCAGAGTTGTGAACTTTGGTACAGGTAATGAAGCTCTGGTCCTCTGGATGAGCAGCAAGCACTCTTCATCACTGGACATTTCTCCAGTTACTGTGGTTACTGCATGGCTGGTGTTGCATAGACAAATAATTGTCATGAAAATGGATAAATTAGAAATCAAATTGAATTGTAATATCTACAATAATGCTAATATATTGGATAAAGTATACCATGAATACAACTTGTAAGATTTTACAATGATTTTTTAAATTGTTAATAAAATCTATACTTGAGACATTTAAATATAAAATATGATAACACAGATTAATTATTGAGAGCACCCTGTACCTTGGGGTTAAGTTTTAAAAGCCAACATTTTTTTTCAAAAACATAATTTTAGTTGAGCTGTTAATTGAGTTCAGATAACCAGAACTGCTCTCAGTCAAGTAACTATGTACCCTGTGAGAAACCCTTAATAATTTACATAACCACATGATTTATCATCAAAGATAGAATGCTCATGAAAATGAAAGGGGAATGGTAACTTATACCTGAAAATTGTCACAAACCCATGCAAGTCAGCAAAAGCTTGAATGTCTGTCACAATACCTGCAATCAACTTATAATCAGCTGTGAATTGACAGTGAGACATCATGCCATGTAATCTAACAGTATCATTCTACACCTTAAGCACAGCTAAGACCATGTAGAAGTTGCATAACTTGGAAAAGATTGCTTCAAGTGAACTGAGAAACAATGCAATCTCCTTTTATGTAGCTGAATTCTTCTTCTACCACCTTTAAAATTCACGTCGACATCCATTTTTTAAACCTCACTGATTGTGGAAATTCCAGATGAGTTCTATGGAAAGCTAAACACTGTACAAGCAGAATCTTGCTACAAACCTACTTGAAACACCCTTAAGATTTATTCCAATTTTGAAAAGGTTTAGCAAATATTTTCTATCCAAAAATACAATTGCTCTGAAAGTAAAGAAAATCTGTCAATTATTTAATAACCATAGAATCACATATTATGTGGAAATGTAGCTGCAAAATAATGAAGAAACGTTGACTGTAAAATCTCAACCATGAGAAGTGACAGATCTTTGCCTTTTATAGCACAAGGCAAATAGAGTTAAAAATAATTTTTCTATAATCCAAAAGTGCTAGAGGACATTGAATGATTACATGGCAATAGTGTAATAAAAGTTTAAAATACTAGATTTTCTAATTACTCTAACTTAATCATTTTACATGTACATCTATCAAAGTAATACACAATACAACATAAATATGTGAATCTAACCACTGTCGATTTCTAAAATGTTTATTTTTTTCAGGTGGCTTTCTAATTATTATTATTGTGTTGCTGGGCATGGTGACATACTTTAATCCCAGAACCTAAAGGCTATATGTGGGGATCATGATTTTTAAGCTAACAAATATTACATAATAACATCTTGTCTCACATAAACAAATATAAATAAATGAACATATAGATCATCTACTATTTGAATCACTCTAATTATAAATTCAAAGGTAGGTCTTGGGGTATGTCTCAGCACATATGAGCACTTTCTGTTATTCCAGATGATCTGTGATCAGATCCTAGCATACACATTTGACTTCTCACAGCTGCCTGAAAACTCCAGCTTTAGACAACCCGATATTCCTATTCTCTCTCTGCAGACACCTACACACCTCTCTGTCTCTGTCTCTGTCTCTGTCTCTGTCTCTCTCTCTCCCCTCACATGCACACTCATACATACACACAGACACATACACACCTCTCTGTCTCTGTCTCTGTCTCTCTCTGTCTCTGTCTCTCTCTCTCCCCTCACATGCACACTCATACATACACACAGACACATACACACACAAATAAAAATGAATGTTGACAAGTTTCAAAGCAAGTGCTCATTAATAAATAAATAGGAATGATGACTGTGAGGTTTGGCTATTTTGTATTCTTATTTTTATATTCTATTTTCTGTCATTATTGTTTCATTATTCCTATTAAGTTTTTTCACATTTTAAATTTGTTATTGAAATATATTTACACCACTCCCTTCCTCCCATTTCCCTATGTTACCCTTCTCATGTCTAACATCTTCTCAATTTGATGGTCTCTTTAATTCTCATAAGAATGTCATCATAATGACATCTATATGCAAAATATGTGAACACAAACTTCTGAGTCTGTATAGTGTAATTGATTTTAGGGCATGTTTTGGTTTTTATCATTTTTATTTTTGTAAATATGCTATTGTCAGATACATTAAATACTAATAAAAATATTATACTCTAAAAAAGCACTGTAACTGAAGGGAGGAGCATACAATAATGTAAATGATCATACTTTATGTTCAGGAACTGCTTAGGCCTTTATTTAGCCATAAAGTGAAATTCTGAGATAATTTACTTATTGTACAAGTTAATTGACGTCAATGATATAATCTGCTGAAAAAATGTTTCTCAGACCTATAATAGGAACATATTAGCTCTAGGTAATGAAGTTGAAAGACAACTATTAAATATTTCCCCACACGTTATCCACATCTTAACCTTTCTACTTTATAATATTAAAGGATAAAATAGAAAAATTAAGGGCAAATGCTTCTTTATAATATTGTTTTCATAGTGCTTGAGACAGGTTAGCATGTAAATGTACATTGCAGACAACCACTAGTACTTACTTCCTCAAAAATCTCTACATGATCAAAATTTAATCTAGAACCAAAAATGATTTCTTATTGTTGGTACTTAAAAAGCTTCCTTCAAAATATGTGGCTTTATGCCTTTTAAACAGATATTATTTAATTTGTAGGATACCCTTCTTGAAACCTGTTAACTAATGTACACAGCCTGTGATTCATTTTAATGACAACCAATGACTTGCCCCATTTTTCTTTCCTAATACATATTAGAAATAGATTATTAGCAAATTCTATTATTAACTTTGTCAAGTCTCCCACTGACTATAGTTTGTTATATTTTAATTGCAATGAAGACAGTGTGAAAAGGGATGAATAAATGTACAACATTAGTTATGATTTTGGAGTACTGTAGGCAAACTGTAATTTACAAATACATAGCATTTCATAGTCTAAATTTTGGTATGTATAATAATGTTCAGAAAATCAACACGGTATATGATACTTGTACTAGAAACCTTGTAATAATATTAGTTTTCAATATAACAAATTCAGGATTATGACATAGTTTAATTATATTAAAAGGTAGAAATAGCCAGGCGGCAATGGCACATGCCTTTAATCCCAGCACTCGGTAGGCAGAGGTAGGCGGATCACTGTGAGTTCGAGGCCAGGCTGGGCTACCAAGTGAGTTTCAGGAAAGGCACAAAGCTACACAGAGAAACGCTGTCTCGAAAAACCAAAAAAAAAAAAAAAAAAAAAAAAAAGGTTTCAAAAGTATTTATGATCATTATGTGGAATAAGAGGTAGAACATATTATTTCCTTGTTTGTACCATTTTATTAACTGCTCAATATGAAACAATAAATTTGTTAAAAGTACCTAGAAAAAAATTGTATCATTTATTAAGAATATAGTCTATTCTTGGTAGACATATATTGAAATTAAGTTAATCATAAGCAAAATATGATATAAGATCATAGGTTTCTTTTCCAAATTAAAATATTATTATTTCCTAATTATTAACTTATACTTCCAGCCATTCACTTATTTGCATATGGTATCTAGCTACATTTATATCTATATAATATGTATATGTATTTGCCTGCATGTATAATATACACTATATCTGAAGATAAAGTAGGTAGAAATTCATGCAATGATGAAAATATATAATATAATCTGCTTCATCAAATGAGCAACTGTATGTGGCTAGAAGGATGTCTGGGTGGTAAGAGCAATTTTTCTCTTGAAGAGGACCTGGGTTTGCATCATAGATCTCATATCATACTTCACAATGGACTGTGATTCCAGTTCCAGGAAACCTCAGCCTCCATTCGTCCTCTTCATTCACCAGGTACACACATGTTACGCATATATACATGAAGGTAAGACACTCATCCTTTTAAATAAAATAAAGAAATCTAAATTTATTTAAAATTTAAGTGTATGTTTTATTGATACATATTTTTGTGGTATTGTATATTATATATAATAAATATACTTGAAAAATAATAACAAATTTGAGAGAGAGAAGTTGGTGGCATGGGAACAGGTGAAGTGAGTATCTGAGAGTGGAAATGATGTTAATAGAGTATGCATGTATGCTATAGTCAGAAAAATTAAATCTTAAATTAACAAGAAAACAAAAAAGTTAATTAATTTGGAAGAAGAAAAGGGATATGAAGCATGAAAAGATCAATAGTAACAAAAGTCTTGCAAGAAACTTTATTTTTTAATAAAAAACAGTTAAAGTGTTTTTCATGCAAGGCAAAGGCAAAACTTAAATATGTGAATTAAAAACAGTGACAGTTAAAAGTATATGTTCTAGTTACTCAACATTTAGCTGGTACTGACATAATTAAATAAAAATTTATATTTTCTAATTTATGTTAACATTTTTCTTGGTGAATTTAGACTAAATAGGCAAAACTTCATTCAACTTTTAATAGAGACATATAGTTTTTAAACTCATTTTTATGTAAATGCACTTTAGGTTTAGGTTAACTTCAGTAATTAATTATTGATGGGATTATTTTGTCCCTACAACCAATAGATTTCATTTATCTAATGTTTAAAATATTCTATAATTAATAATTTGTTTTCCATGGTTGTAAGAATTTTACTAAATTAGTATCATGTATTTTAAATTCAGATTTCATTTCACTTTATTATATCTAGCTCTGGCATCAAATTTTCAATATTTTAATGAAGCCTGTGAGATTAAAACATCATGCTACAATTTCATTAATGTAAGAGCACAAGGCACTCCTAGGTCATCACCATAATCAGTGAGTAATTTAATTGGGTTATTTCAAAAAAGTCATTGGCTCCATTGGCTGATGTAATCTCAAATCTCAAATGCTCTGTAGAAAACTCCAAGGCATATTGCATAATCTAATTTGTCTTGTATTAATATAGCTTATAAATTCATTTCCTTTCCTATTTATTTCTTTACAACTATTTAAAGAAATTTGAAAATCAATTCATTATCTATTTTCCTATCTCTCTTCCCATAAAATTGTCTCTTATATTTTTATGTAGGCCAATTAAGAAGCACAGACATTTTCTCAGTAGTTGAATATAAAATGAATACTGTAAGGCAATATAAAAATAAGGGTGAACAGTTTTAATGCCACAGGATGTATCACACATTTATGGCAAGCTTGTACTGTGTAACTAGGCCCTGTATCTGACAGGGAATGAGAACAGTCAATTCTCAGAATAGTGGAATTTACAGAAATAAAAATACAAATTAGCCAATAGACTAAGATTAAGTCTCAGGTGTAGTTGAATAACAACCCATAATATAATCTATGTTTGCATATGTATATTATGGGATGTCCTGTATGTTGTGAATATATGTTGCTATGATTGACTGATAAGTAAAACATTGACTGGCCAGTAGCCAGGCAGGAAGTATGGGATAGGCAGGACAAACAGAGAAGAGAAGCTGGGAAGTGGAAGTCTGGAGGAGACAGCAGCCTGCTGTCTAGGGTGTATCATGTAAAGGCAACAAGTAACATCATGGAACACATGGCAACATATAGATTAACAGAAATGGGCTCAGTATAATTGTAGGAACTAGACAATGGTAAGCCTGAGCTAATGGCCAAGCAGTTTAAATAATATAAGTGTCTTTATGTTTATTTTATAAGTGGGCAACAGAACTGCCAGAGCTTGGTGGGACCCAGAGAAAAAACTCTAGCTACATATGTATGTATGTGTAAAATGTGAATTTATTCATGTCTTTTGGCATGTTTATGAGATTATTTATGTGAGTGATGCAAATGCACATGTTTGAGAAGGTGTGGAGTCCAGAATTAGATAATTAATGCTTCTTGATTTCTCCTTTATTTCCAAGGCAGGATCTCTCACTGAACTTAAAGCTTGCCAATTAGTCTAAAATGGCTTGCCAGCTTTCTCCAGGAGTCCCTTATTTCCACCTTCTGAGTTTACAAGTTGGCCACCAAGTTGACATACTAATCCATACTCCATTCCTGATGCTTGCAAATTTTCCATTGAGCAAACTCCTCAGCCTAAAAGAACACATATCTTCCAAATGAGAGAAGATTAAGGGTCAGAACCACAAAGGAAACATAAGAATCACTGTATAAATATTTGTTTACACTCAGTATTAAGAATGTTCTGATGCATATTGTTGCTGTTAACATTTTCTTTCCTTTCTTTTATGAAACAATGACCATAGCAACATTAGTACAATAACAAATTCTCTCAAGAGACATCATTATAGTATAATATACTGACCTTTAAATGTCTCAAAAGAACTATCTAATCCCATTTGCTATGGGTCACCAAATAATAAATGTGTATTTGAAAATCCAGCAGTAGAATGGGCCATTTTTAGTTATAATTTCAAAGTATTTATTTTAGTATGAACATTTTTCTAAATCAGAGAACATAAAAAGGAACAAAAGATGCTTTAAACCTTTAAATAAAACACGTTATAAATTTATATTGTTTTTGGCTACAGTTTCTACAATGACCATGTTTCAATAGCTTTATTTAAGCCTGCAATTTAAACTTCGTTTTCAAATGTTTCTTTCAAATATCCAATAAATATAAAATAAGAGAGTAAGTGTTATATGTATGCACATGGGAAAGAAACACAATTTTACTTTTGAAAACAGTCTAAGAATTGACACACAAGGGACCAGAATGTAAGAAAAGAAGGCAAGTGTTGATTAGCCTGTGATTTGGCACAGCTCACAGAGGACCATGTGTGACAAAAGGAAAGATGTGAACACATGAAGATAAGTATATTGTTGAAACAGGGAGAGGATGTAGTTTACTCAATTATAGAAAACTTTATATAACAGCAGAACTGGAAAGATACCAAAATATCTGCTTGTGACATAGTGAAAATACTTTTTCAATTCTAATCACAATAAAAAATTTATATGCACAAACATAAAATGTTGACCATTGTTTTTATTAAACTACTAAGGTTCTAGTTTGTATGCAATGTAAAAATTAGTCAATGAATCAGAGACATGTTATCCAGCTATAACATTTAACTAAGCCAACATATTTTTTTTGAGGGTGTGTTTCTCTGTATGTAGGTTTGGATGTCCTGCAACCTTATATAGATCAAGCTAGCTTCAAGTTCATAAAATTTTATATGACTCTTCCTCTGGTTACTGGGACTAAAGATGTTTGCCACACTATCTCACTAAGCCAATATTCTTAAATACCAGTAACTATACCTCAAAATCTCAAATGTTAATCATCAGTAGGAATACATAGTCTACATAAAAGTTTTTAATATAGATTGCTGGCTACAAAGAATCTCATAGTTTAGGTGGAGAGAGGAGTAGTGTTTGGGCTATTTTTACATAGCATAAGACAGACTATTACTGTATGTTCCCTTTACATAAATTGGTCTCCATCTTCAATTACTAATCACAATCATAGCAAAAGGGAATTTAGTTGTACATTTTCAGATAAATAGTCATTCACAAACAATAAAGGTAAATTTTATCACCTTGTCTTTCAGATATGGAGTTAATCTTTGTGTAACTTCTGATTGTTTCTTTTCTAGTTTCCCCTTGATATTTTTTACATGTTGGCTATTTCCAGGGAGGTGATGTTAGTCATCATACCAATTTGGCTACCTTGGGAGCTCTATTTGTGCATGTGTCTCTCCCCATATAGCTGCTTCTCTGTCTCTGTTAATTCTCTCCACCTCTCATATCTACAGGCTAAAATATATGCATCCTCCCCCCCCCTTTGGTTCTTAATATGCTAGGACTGAAAGCTCAGCCTAGAGCTTAGGTTTCTTCCTAAATAGCTCTTTTAACTTAAATTAACCCATTTATGTTAATCTACATTCTAACACTTGGTATTACCTCTCTTCCATCTTGTATCTCTTGTTTCCTTTCCATGTCCTGGCATCTCCTCCATGCCTCAATTCCTTCTCCTCTCCTTTTCTCTCCCCAGAAATACCACCTATATCTTCTGTCTGACTGTTGGGTATTCAGCTTTTTATTACTCCAATCACAGCAAGACACCTTCACACAAATGTACAGTGTACAAATGTCCCACAACATTTCCTGTTTTTTGTCTAAATAAGAAGGAATGGTTTTAACTCTAACATAGTACAACTTTACACAGTAATAACAATTATCAGGTAAGAATTACATTTACATTGTCCAGTCTGTCTGTACTTGGCAAATGCAGTGAAAATAATGTATTATCTATCCTATCTTTGTGAGTCAAAAGTTTTGTACCTGATTTACTTTCTATCAAAACTACAAAAACTCTGACTATAATGAGTATAATCTTCTTGCTTTCAACCTCATCAAAAATCTGAGATGAATATAACATTACCTGAGTAAACAGGAAGTGTAAAGCAAGAAATATCCAAAATTATGGAAATGACAGAAACAGCTGGCTGCCTAGACAGTAAAAAAAGGTTCCTCTGCAATGTAGAAGCATCCAAAATTAGCCTCCAAGCCTATAATGCCTGACTAACTTTTTTGTGAAGAAGTAATTTTAAAGGACTGTCCAACCTTGTCTTGGCAAATTTCAGCAGCTGCCTTCTTTTGTGTCCTGCTTGTCCGATTTGGACACCATGATATCAGCAGTTGAGACAAGGGTAATTTCTTGCCCAATGCCTAACTTTGCCACAATAAAAACAAATTTCCTATGGAGATTCTTTAATGCCCATCATCATTGAACTAAATTGGTACTGTCAGATGTAGACCTGTCACACTGTCATGAAAAGCCATATGTTATTAAAACATTTTAAATGCCATATTCTGTAGGTCATTGAAGTGTTTGAAGGTCATCTACTTATTTAAAATATATCTCTGTTCAACTTTCAAAACATACCTAACATGACTACAAGTTTGATTATTAGACATGACTAACTACTAACCTATACTTTTTAGTTATCCTGAATAGTTTTCAAGGGCTAGAATTTTTACTTATATTTTTAAATGAGCTGTATGGGTATAATACTTTAAATAAGAATATATATATATTCTTATATATATATATATATAGTGTGAAAAAGAACTTTAATTTGTATCAATATACAAAAATCCATACCAATGTAAAATATTTGCCAGATGTTAGTGGTGCAAGCATTTAATCCCAGCACTTGCAAGGCAGAGGAAGGAAGATATCTGTGATTTCAAGGCCAGCCTGGTCTACAGAGTGAGTTCCAGAACAGGCTCCAAAGCTACACAGAGAAACCCTCTCAAAAAACCAAAAAAAAAATGAGGTTAATAGTTGCCTTTTAGTTAAAAGTAGATTCAATAATCTACCCTTTGATGCTATCATTCCTATATCCCCACTCCATTTTTTCAGAGAGTTCTGAATCAATCTCCCTTGATCTGCTTTCTCCCTGACTATGACCAACAATAGACTACAACCAATCCCCTTAAATGATAATAAACATCCATAATCTATTGAATAATCAAAACCACACACCTCACCTCTTGGAAATGTGGTCATTGTGTTTTTAAAGTTGTTTCTTGTTTTCTGGGTACAATGACATGTTTAGGGTATGCTGAAAAATTCAGAAATGTTCAAGTCTTGGGAGAGCTACCTGTATCATTTGTTGCCCACTTTCTGTTTGAAAGTTAAGCCCTGTGTTTGAAAGCACAGGGCTTAACTGAAGTCCTGGCTGAAGTAGTCTGTGAGGCTGGACCATCTTATCCAGCTGCTTTGAAGTTGTTCTGAATGCAGATTTTTGAGGAAATAGCAATAGGCATTCTGAGAGTCTGGATCACTTTGGCTATTTGTCTTTCTTTGTAGGCACGTGGTTCTTTTGTTCTGAGAATACACAAACTTTTAAAGGTAAGATATTAACACAAGTATGGAATGTGTGGTGTGCACAAGTCAGCTAAAGATGATTTTCTGTTCTATGTTTGAGAAGGTAAAGGACATCTCTCAAATTTATAAGTCTGTTTGGACTGCATAATCAAATTTTATATTGATTATGAGATTTTATATTGTAATATAAATTTCAATCCATGCCATATGCAAGGATGACATGTAATATTAAGCCATGAGGACTCTATAAAAAACAAGGATTATCATGTATCATTCAGTATCAGAGCTGTTCCCATAGGTGAGGGATTAGCATACATGTTACCTGTCCTGTAGTCTTTCTGGTTTTCTTTTTTTATGTCTGTAGACAAGATTTTCAGGAGGTGACCACCCTCAATCAAATTTGATCTTTATTAATTTTTAAGAGAACCATTAATTTGGCTTCCTGTAGAAACAAAGGCATAATATTTTAACCAACACAGTATATTTTCTGACATCCATTTTGAAGCTAAGATATTCTTAAAATACATAGGTTGATTTAATTGATTGGTTTCCATAATCAAATGTCTTTCAGCAGCTATTTTTTGTATGTTAGCATTTAAAAAATTCAAAGTCAACAAAGTATACAGGATTCAGACACCCTGTGTATTTCCCATCTTTCTTTTTATATTACTTCACTCTCTCTTTTAAAGACTTTATTTTTTTAAACTATTATTTATTTTTCTATGACTGTCTATACCCATTTTCTTTTCTTTCTTCAGCATCTAAGCACCTTTTTAAGCATACTATATCTGTTCAGACATTTTCTTGGTCTGGATTTGACACTCTGTGCATCTGCGGCCTTCTCTGACCTTTGGAGACAAACCTATCCTGGGCTAACACTGAGCATGGTGCTGGTGGCTACCTCCACCCTCCTCAGTTCTGTAAGAGCCTAGCCTTATGCTGGAGTATTTACCACCTTGGTTCTGGGAACCTGCCCTGCCCATAATATGGCAGGCATTTTTACCTAGCACAACAGCTGCTCAAGTGTTCTGCTGTCCAACGGGGCCTCTTTAAAGAGCTGCACATCTGTACACTGAACCTACCTGAGACAACTTTCTCAGGCCCTATGTGGAAATTCGAGCTTCCACATTGGACGCCATATATAAGGAGTCAATTTTATCTCCCACCAGCCAGCTCCCAAATAATGACACATTTAATATTTCTTATTAAATATAAAAGCTGAGGTTGTAGCTTAGGTTTGTTTATAACTAGCCCTTATCACTTAAATTAACCCATTTATATTAATCTATGTTCTAATACGTGCCACTACTTCTCATCCATCTTTTACCCCCTGTTTTCTCTCCGTGTCTTCTGGTATCTCCTGTGTGCTTAGATTCCTCCTCCACTACCTTTCTCTTACCAGAAATCCTGCCTCACCTCTCACCTAGCTATTGGACATTCGGGTTTTTAATTAACCAACCCCAACAATAAACCTTCACACAGTGTACAAATTTCCCACAATTATATACAATTTTATTCTTTAATCGATGTCTAGTATCTATATAAATATATGAATTAGAGAGAATTCTTACATTTAAAAAACCTTTCTTTATATTTAAGGAATACAGGTGCTCATGGAGTGTCAGATGATTTCCTTATTTTCATGGTGTATGAAGACAGGGCTGGCATCTGTTTGGTTTTGTTTACATTTTTGTTTTCTCACTGTTTTATTTTCCCTTGTGATAAGTTACTTTAGTTTGTGTTCTGCTCATTTTCATGTTCTACAACTTGTAAGAATTCCCCAAATCCTAGTCTGAAGGTGTGAAGGCTGTCTTCCTAAGTAAAGAATTTGCATTTGGCCTGTCAAACACTTGAAGCACTACAGATACAGAACTGTGTCTAAACAGCCATATGTATGAATTTTCTTCATATTATGAATGGCATATTTTATTCTGTTTTCACTGGCTAGTGTCCCGATAGCAAAAATATAGCTATGCAATTTTATCCACATGTGAAGTATCTAAAATCAAACCACCTCCTCAAATGGTTATATATTTTTTCAATATAAAGTTTAAAATGGTGTGTCAGGTATCCCAGGCTGTCTTCAAACTCACTATGCAGCCAGAGGATGACCTTATATCCAGCCTTTATCTGCCTAGTGTCTAGATCAATTTTTGCATCATTTCTGATTAAAATAATGTTGGAAATAAAACCCAAGGCTTCATAAAAGCCAGAATATATTCTGCTAGCTGAGCTGCATTTGAGACTCTGGGTGTGATTCTTGACTATTTTACCTAAGATGTGTGTTGTGGAATGCTGGACATCAACATAACATGGTCATCTACCTCTTGCACTGCCAGCAATCACGAGCAATAGACTTTATCAAGATTGAGAGCATTAGATTTTTGTCACAGATAGGGAAAGCCTAAAGAAGCCTCTCCTTTCCCCAAGGATTTATAGATATGTAATGATTACTCCGGGAGAGTGTATATAATGCCTCATTCTTCCCCACAATTTATTGATAGGTAAAAGTAACTAGGATACAAGTTAGGCTAATCTGTCAAAAGGTGAAAATTCTAAGCAGCAAAGTGTGCATAGTTGGTTTTGATACTGTAGTATGGAATTGTGTGCTTCTCTGCAGTATCAAGTACATCGTTCATTGTATTAATTAAAATGTATCAAATTAAGGCTTCTGAGGAAATCTCAAGGGGGCTTCTTCATTCACATGATATGGAATGACAATCCTTGATTACAAGGTAGATCACATAATATTGGCATATATGCCAAATTAATGATGGACTAGAAAATATACTACAATCCATATATTTGTTACAAATACATTTGAATTCTAATCAAGTCTGGTTTCAGTTAAATGTTCTTTGCTCTATGAAATAATATCATGAAACTGAGGTCTTGCTAAATACACAAAAATGATTTGCCTTAGTTATATTTCTATTGAGGTGAAGTGACAAAATAAACAAGGCAAATTATGGAAGAGAAGTTTAACAGTGCGATTACAGTTCAGAGGCTACTCCATGATTAGCATGTTGTGGAGCATAACAGCAGACATGGTCCTGGAAAAGCAGCCTAGATCTTGAGTCCTGATTCACAAACAGGAGGAAGAAAGAGATCTAACTGAGAATAATGTCTCTTAAAATCTCAACCCCCATCTCCATGGACGAACCTCTTTTGATAAGGCTATTCCTTCTAATCCTTCCCAAACAGGTCCACCAACTGGGGCCTAGGCATTAAAATATATGAGCCTACAAATGTCATTCTCATAAAAAAAAATCAAAAACCAAATATACAAACAAAAAACCCACTACACCTATGTAATTATAATTACAAAAAAGACATGGCCCCTTAAACAGACCAAACTATGCCTGGTGCATGAGTTGGCTTTCTGGAGCCCATTACCTATGGTAGGAGGACTTGCTCACTCTTGATGCAGAGGAGAGGAAGGGCCTTGGTCCTGCCTCAACTGAATATACCAGGCTTTGCCTACTCCCCATGGGAAGCCTCACCCCTTTGGAGGAAGGAAAAAGGGGTGGATTAGGGGGAAGGCTGACGGAGAGCAGGAGGAGGGATGAGCGGGGATCTGTGGTTGGTATGCAAAAGGGGAAGGAAAAAGCCACTCTAAAAACAAAACAAAACAGAACAAAAAGACATGGAAGTTCTGTTCCACATTAACTTCTGAAGTGTGGGAAAGAGAAAAGAATGAGATAGGCATGCTGCCTTCCATTTCTTACAGCATAAGGGACAGAGGAGAAAATCATATCTTTGCTAAATAAATACCCTCTCTTCAGATTCCAAAATTTGCATGCATCAGGGAAAGGATAAGACAATGAAAAAAGATATCTGTGGGATAGAAGGCACAGATTTCCCTCAGATGTACTTTTAATAGTGAGAAAGAGATCTATGTTACAATATAAAGAAGTGGGCTTTGGTAAATGATTCAGTGCACATAATGATTATCAGTAGACATTCTGCCTTTGAACTGTTTGAATTTGTAATAACAGTTTTTGGGGAGAGTATCACACTTGTGTACAATTCACTGTGATTACATTTGCTCCAATTCTTTTGTATTAGTTACTTTCAAAGCCCACCAATGCCCTTCTTCTCTGCAATTAATCACTATCCTCACTCTTATCATAGCTACTGTTTTCATGAGTTAAATGCTTATGTAATATCCAGAGGACAGTTCTCCACAGAACCTGTTCTTATCCTTTGGCTCCTCCACAGTTCTTCTGTCTCATCTGTTGTAATGATTTTTAGGCCAGGGATGAAATCCTCTTTGAGACTAACCAAAAATTATCCTCAGCATGCTGCATAGCAGAGTCACAACATAGAACATCAATCACTAGTAAAAAGGATTTCTCTGATCAAGGTTGAGAGTTACACTTGTCTGTGGTAGACCATTTCACAGCACACCTATTTGGCAAAGCTCCAGTGGTAGATTCTTAAAATGGCCCAAAGACCTCCTCAAACATCAGCTCTTGATCTGTTCTGTAGCAAGTTCTCAGCTGTTGATGTGTTCTGGAGCAAGTTCTCCCACATAGTGGGCTTCACAACAAGTCCAAAAGCAGTTGGTTACTCCCAGAATATTGATGTCATATTACAGAATTGGACATATCTCTCCCATCTGTTCAATTTTGCAAGATTTAGGATCCACAGTATTGTGACATTGTTGATGAAATTTCAGTCTACAGGTTAAACAACACTTAACAGCACTGTGATCATTAGTCAGCAGGGAGGATGCTTCCAGATCAGTACCAGCTTGCTTTGTTCCATCTATGTTTTGTTTCTAGAACGCATGCTTTATTCAGCAATGGGGGCATGTTGTATAGTTTTCATGGATATCTGAAGCATCGGTTTTAGTCTATGTTGTTTTGGGAGCCTCTGGAATCTTTTAAACTGTTTAATGAATGTATGAGTGACAGAGACATCCAAACACAAACAATAACTTGGGTTAGTGCTTGGGAGGGGTGGACATTTGTCTGCAGAGAGATTTTTTTTTCATGTTGGTGTAGCTGCCTATCAGTTTC